CAAGCAGAGGACGACTTTGTTGCTGAAGCACATCGATCACTAGAAAAATTTGCACCTGGCCATGGCAAAAACCAGACAAGCAACGAGGCCTGATAGATTCTTGAAGGACTGGTATAGGAAAATCATAAGCAAACGAGGTCACGCATGGGGCTGGACCCTAGACCCCTACTGTTGCGGCAGGGCCAGAGCTTGTCCGGGTGTAGACATGACGGCATCCCGTGCTTGCATGGCCGCATCTAGTAGCGCGCCCGGGTGGATATAGCTAGCACACAAAACTAATTCTCCATAGCTATGATGTGTTGACCAATGAAACAGTGAGAGAAGCGAATTCCCGGTCTGGATTATGCTTTTCCTGATGTGCCAAACATACAGAGGGTTAGGATAGACCAGGATCACGGAGGTCAGGATATGGATTTCAGGGATTTGGAGGTTATGGTTCATTTGCGTCGGCATCTGCAATCTCAGGGTTTATTTCACTCACTCCAGACTCTGTGTTTGCCGATAGAGCGGTCAGGAATGACGGACATGAAGCAGCGCCACACAAGTTGCTCGTTTGTTTCGTGTCATGTCGTGTCGTTTCGTGGGTGGGTTGGTGGGGGCTCTCAATATCTCTTAATCCGCTGTAGGCTACGTGATGAATCCACTGCTGATGCATGCTAGTATGGTCCAGCCGATCAGTGATCGAAAACAACAAGTATCTCCTATCTTTTTTTCCTTTTTCTTTTTCCACGCTCTTTTGAAACAGCAGGTCTATTCCAATGAATATCTTTTCTCGGACGGCTAACACATTGCTTATAACTAATCTGCTGAGGACTACATAATTATCCGACTAATGATGCTCCAAATCAACCACTAATCGAGCGGAGAAAAAAGTCCATATCTCCTCGCTCTTTTTCCTTCTCTTTTTTCGTCCCTCTCTTTTGAGAGACAGGTCCATCGCGTGTCCAAATGGTCCAAAGCCAATTTAATGTTTTTCCCTCCGTCGGCAATAGGATGGATATTCGAAGATGACCGCGGTGCACTCGGCCTGTCCCCATAGGAACAAAAGAAAACAAAAGAGCATCTTTCTAACGAGATCGGAAACACACACAAGATCACAAGGTTGGTGACCCCTAATCTCTGATTCCACATTGTTTAAAGGAAAACTACTAGACTACTAGTGACATGATTGATCCGGACGGCAGTCAGGTGACATGATCCGGGCGGATGCTCTTTTCTTTACACAACAGGGATGGGGGATCTCAGCTGCTTTAGCTTCTCCATGGTCAAATTATTCCTTCCCCGCGGCACTAATTACATGCCTATACCCATGAGTGCATGCGTGACTGACTAAACTATAGGTGTAAATAAAACTGCAAGTGCAACAAGAACCAGCTTTGATCACTAGATTGGCGAGAAGAGAAGATAATCTATGTTACCCTGGATTGTGGGGACTTGAGTAAGTCTCACCTGACATCATCTTTGCATGCTTCTCTACCTATTGCAAGCTACTGCGCTTGTCTGGAGAGTGGAGTGGGCATCGTGTGTGAGGTGACTGATAGTTGATGCACCAATTGTTGGTCACGACTTTATCCCTCCACTCAGAGGATGCGTTTAGAGATTCCTCGACCCCGAGAGACAAGTCGCTACAAAACTTTGCTCGACTTTTCAATGACGTATAATGTTCCAACGCAATTACAAAGGCGAAAGCGAGACCGAACTATCGGGGCACTTTCTCTCAATCATGTTGACCGTTCTATATATGTTTCTGGAACTTTTTTTTGTCCCGTTCCTACGGGAAATGACGTTGTTCTTAGAGAATTCATAGAAATATAAGCGTGGTACTGCTATGTTCCATGCATGCCCGTAGTGGTCTTGTGCTAGCCTCTGCATCTGTATGGCCTCATATTATCAACGAGAAAAGAGGGCTGATAAATTCTCATCTAGTACTACCTATAGCTAGCTAGTAGAACATATTTAGTGAAAGAACCTATTAGTACTAGCAAGTAGTACAAATTAAGGACATGGTTGCAAGGTCTGTGATCATGGACCAATCATCTATCTCATCCTAATATCACAATTAGGCATCGGTCGCTATTAACCTGACTGTTGTCCGACCAGGCCCATGCGGCCGGGGAGCCCGTGAAAACTGATAAGACACAGCAAAAGTAAAGTGAGAGGCAAGAGGCGCTGTCAGCTCTCGCTGCTGCAGCAAGTTGAGCTTGAGTGCGGCCAGGCCAGCTGCCATGCATGAGAAACGAAAAGAGAGGAGGGAAAGCGACCTGGCTTTGAGGATGCAAGCCGCCATCGCCATGCATGAGAAAAGACTGACTGTTGATAGCTAAACCACAGGGGCCACTCCAGGTTGGTTGTGATCCCAACTCGCTTATTATTAGTAAAAGAAAAGAAACCTTTTTCCTTTCCTCTACTGGGGATCATGGATCATGCATGCAGCAAACCTGCAGGTCTACAGGGAACGTACGGATGCTCACAGCTCATGGAAATCTCGTGAATCGGATGGCCGCGCGTTGAAGTCGACCCTTGATGTGTGAAGGTCTCCGTACCACCTGCAGAATTTCGTGAAGGGAACGGAGCCGGCATCGCTCAAAGCTGGGGCCAACGAACAATGGCTGCTAATTTCCCTACTACAACCTCTCGTGTGTCTACTAGATACACTCGTTTCACGCACGCGACGGTTAATTTTGGACGTAGGCAGTACTTATCACTTGTGCAGATCTCCCGTGTACCACTCTTCCAAGAGCTTATTACTGCAGGTCACAGCAGCGGCGTAGGCACTAGGCGTTGAGCTGGGACAAAGCAAAAGCGAGAGAGGCAAGCTGAACTGGCCGTGCAAGAGGCGACGTGCAATGCTGGTCCGGTTCGGGCGAAGCAGTTGCGGTTGCAACTGCCTCCCACGTCCCAAGCGTGCCGGTGCCGCCTCCATCGGTCGCTGCCCTGCCTGCCTGCCTGCCTGAGCTACCACGCATAGCATGCACGCGACGCGTTGGCTGGTGCTGGTCCTGGTCCGGATTCGGTGCCTGATTACTCAGTGGATTAGCTATGCCCATCAGCCTACGCACGCACGGAAGCCGAATCAGGCGGCACTCATTCATTCGTGTCTCGTTCGGTGCCGCTACCCCCCAACTTTGGAGGTGTTAATTTGAGGAGAGCAACAGGCCCGCACTGTGCGTGCGGCGCCAAGAATCCAAGATTGTTCCATCCTCTGAATGATTAGCAGCAGCCGGTCGTTGTTACTGATGACTGTCGAAAGTTACTGAATGCGTTCGGCAGGGCGACTATTGTTCATTGTGCTCGGGAAGGTAATGCGGCAGCGCATGGACTTGCTCGGACTAGTTACAGAGAAAAATTTTCTGAAGAGTGGCGAGATAAACCTCCTGATTTCTTACTCCCCTTCCTTGTAACTCATATGATTATTGTTTAATAAAGGTTGCCGAATCTCAAAAAAAAAAAAAAACAGCAGCCGGTCGTCTCGTCACCTTTTCTTCCGAATGATCGGCGACCGTGGCTTGCGTGAAGATTGGATTTGCTAATGCATGCTCGGCTCCCCCGTATCGTCCTCTTGAGCCCCGGCCTTTATTTGCAGGTCCCCCTCCGGCCACTGATTGCCCGGCCAGCGGTGCATGCGAGCCGAACCAGTTAAACCTCGGCGACTGACCACACCGTCAGTCCAGTCCTACCCCAAAGCGTATCGCGAGTACGGCTCGTATCCCAAGAAGCCATATGTGCGGATCGCCGAGCATAAAACCAGCACGTGGTGGGGGGTGACCGCGCACTGTACTGCACAGGCAGGCAGATGGTTCGATGGTTCAATGCCGAACTAGGGTGGTCATTCCGATGGTTCCCTTGCTGCAGCAACTTGCTCTAGGCCGTGCGTGCGTGCGCTGTCATTTGGCACGGCGCATTCACGAGGCTGCTGCTACCGCACGTTCCATGTTCCAGTTCCACCAGGGCAACGGCGAGACAGGTCATGGCCGGGCCACCCTTGTCCCTCGATTCCATTGCTCAACTAACTAACAAGCACTGTGACGGTCTGAGTGTGCATGTCATCGATCGTGGGTCTGTGTTCATTTAAAGAGGGAAGTACGTACGATTGTACAGATCAACAACGTGATCAAGTCTGCAAGTCACAGTTTGATGTTTAAAGTACACGAGTAAAACAAGGTTAATTAATGGGGACAACATCAGCGGTAAGTACTCACGATACTTCAGATGGCATCCAGGCAACTAAAGGACAATCAACATACAAGATTTGTGATCCTTCATCCAAATATAAAAATAGGCCGTATTTTTCGGTTACTTGCAGACAGAAAAGTATACTCACGATAACATGTGTAATGCAAGAAAAAGCGAGCACTAGAAATAACATCTTACCTCCTTTGGCCATGGAATATTACTCGTCGACAAGAAATACACAACACATTATCTGGGCAGAGAAAGAGACTAGCATCTCAGTACAAGTAACTGCAGACTGACAAAAAAATTGCTCGGGGACACTATCAAAATGTTTAGTAGTCTCTAGGTTAAACAATCATATTTTTATTGTCACTTGTTAGTCGGTAAATCTAACTATCTCTGCTGTGTAAATATGTACATGTTGGCATGAATTGAAAAAAAAAATGGATATGAACAAGCAGCAACTGCTGCACAATAATGAATGAGAACAATCAGGTACTAGCAAGGGTATATGGCCGCCGCGCCATCGATCAATGAAGGATACTGCCAGGCAAGTAAATAAGTAAAATATATTGTTGATTGAAGTATTGCTGTGTACGAACTCATCAGATTTCCTTTCAGCCAGATATATCACCGGTTGGTGCATGCCCATGCCAAGGCAGTCTGGCAGTGTCAATAAGCTCAGCCAGAATGTTAGAGCAGAACCATCACCACACATATCTCTTGTATGCAGAGATATAGCTGCAGGTTAGAAAAACAATGCTTGCGGGATAGGATTGCTTGTTCCTTTCGTACTCTTAAAGCATGGATGGCAAATTTTGCCCTGGTCAGACCAAATGTTGTACAGGTGAATCAGAATTAGCTAAACGCTGTGACGGTTGGCCTTCCAGAGTTCTCTGCATAGCAAACCGACACCTGGTTTGAAAAGCATGAGATGTTAGCGTAACTTTAGGCGAATGAATCAGTGCAGATGCATAGCAACTGAGTTTGCAGCCTTTAAATGCAGCTAAAGGAAAAGGGTGAAGTATGGTATAAGCAAAGCTACACACTTCAATTGTCGACAGCTGTTAAACATGCTGCTTCTAGTCCTAACAAACTCCAAGGCCACCTTTTGCCTCGTGGAAAAACAATCCAATGAGATGAGCTTTGAAACACATGTATCTGGTACTCAGACCCAGCATATTTGACATGAGACAGGATATAATACCCTCCATCAAAAATTCACTCTAAGACCCACCCCAGACACAGCCTATGCACGCATAGCACCACCCTTAATCTTTTGCGCTTGCTTCTCGTCAGAAAAGGTTAGCCCAGTAGTGCTACAATTTGGGCCAACCAACATCACATGCTAGTGCAATTCAATGTGATACTGGCAAGTTGGTACAATAGAAGGACCAAGGTGTCAGTGTTATTTGCCCGAGACAAGAGTCTAACAAACATGCATGTCCGATTCAGATGCATATTTGACATAAAAGAGTAATGGGACCTGACTATGATTTTATGCCCTTTTCTTTGAAAGTTATGTTTTTCTATGGATAATGGTCTGTGTATGCTATATCCTCCCCGAGAAAGGAGTAACGCTCCAATTACTAGTTACAAAGCATTTGCTACTATATCAGGTATGACTGTAAGAAGTTAATGGCTTTACTAAACTGTCTGCAGTGTAAAGTCTTAGCTGTAGTTGGTTAAAAACAATTTCAGTTTTACCTCCATGGTAAGTGATCCATGAACATAGAAGGAGTAACAGCAATATCCCTGAAGTTCTCTCTTTTCGCAAAAACAGCTTTATATGGTTGTTCAGCTTCCTGAGGGTTCCAGCATTTCCAAAGAGGAAAGAGGCTTCTTCTGTTCCGCACAACATGAATAATTAAGCCTGCAAGAAACATCTCTCGAGACTCGACTAGTATTTCCCCAGAAGATGTCTGAGCCTCTTCCAAACCGGAATCATGCCCATCAAGTGGAATCCTCCGGACATCCTGATCAATTTGTAGGCTTCGATAGCTTCTGGGCTCATCTATGGATGAACTGGGTCCATTGTAGGCACCCAAGCCATTTTGCAAATCTTGAAGGTCTGGCTCAGTATTGCATAATGCATCCTGGTGTGGAGACCGCCTTTCATGATACTTGTTTGCATTCAAAATTCTGCGAGCAAGTTTTTGTATCATTGCTGTATCATCTGGGGAGTTATCTGAAAGAGTACTTATTGCAGCAGATCGTAGTCTGAGGATTGAGTTGATTGAAAGGCGAGAAGAAAATTCGTCGTTGTTTACAATGCTGTAAGGAAGAGGAAATAATCAGTGAAAGATGCTAATAAACCTTGTTAAGAGGACATCACATCAAGGATGGAAGTTCCATGGCTAAATCAGGCTATAAAACAGCTTCCAGTTTACTCTTACGTGGTAACAAACTGTGAACAGGCTTCAGCTATTATCAAATCCACACAAGGAAGTGGGCCATAAGCATACACATGCACATCTGGGTATCTGCCAAAAAGCTGTTCAAGAACAAGTTAAGCTTTGAAGAGACACTAATCAGCATCTACAGGTAGGATATAAAACAGATCATGAACAGAGGTAGAAAACAGCAAGTGAAATCATATGTGTTGATGAAAGATTTGTTATGCATATAAAGTTTCGTCATTAAGTAACCAGGAGCATAATTCGCCTAACAGGAGTACCCTGGTGGGTGGAGTGACACAACTGCATGGTCACTATTGGGCTACAGTTCAGTTCCCAGGAAGTTAAGATAAGAATGACAGTGGAAAAGGAATATAATTAACAAAAAATGTGTACGCAAATAATAGTGACGGTTCAACATGTTTTACCATCATTCCTAGGACTGTAGCAACAGCGCCTCCTAAAGAATGTCCAACGACACGAATTTTATATCCATGACACTCACTGCCCTCCTGGACTAGCGTAGACAGAAATCCAAATTTTTTGGAGGACGTGTTTTCTGAGTTGCCATTATCTAAGAGAGAGAGAGAACAGATTAATCACCACAGATATTCTTTCACGTAAAATGGTCAATAAATACACATATTGCATCTAGTCTTCCAATTCCAGGTGATAGTTTAGTAAAAACGAAATCAAATGTAATGAGCAGTATAGTTATGTTGCAAACCAAATCAAATAATGATACAGAAGAAGATTAAAATTAGTACTATTAGCCTATAAGAGTTGGATGGCATGGTTCCAAAAATAGTACTCCCTCCGATCAAAAAATAGTACAACTTTAAAGTTGTACTAAATCTGCGACAAGTAAAATGGATCGGAGAGAGTAGCATACTTTTTTGTACCAGCACTGTACCCAGCATGTTTAAGTATAGTATAGTTAATACAGTGAAATATAATGAAACATGCAGTATACAAGATTACAAGGTATTTACAGAAAGCAGACACAAGCATGATTAAGCCATTTCAGATACTGGAACTTGAATTGCTGAACTAAACTAAGTTATAAACATTTTATTTGAAAAATCAAACCTCCTGTGCAGTCGTTGAGTTGCATGAAAAGCTCCCGAGCAGCCTCTACAATTCCACCATGTCCATAGTGCGGGAATGTAGAAATAACTTTCTCCCTCGTAGTTACAGGTAATAGTTCACTACTGAAGATAAAAATTAGCAATGTGTGTAAAACAAAAGGGGTTGTGGATACGGGATATCACCCCCAAAAATAGAATAGTCCACTTAGATGGTCTCAAACCTCTAGGTTGGCTCCTCAACTCAGTACTTATTCAACTTATTCGTTGTATCAGTTTTTCTACTGAAATATAATTCCACACTAAGTCACTAAGTCCAATCATCTGATTTACCTTACCATACCACGAGCTTACAAGCAGCATTATGGACTACGGCAATGACGATGTTCAAAGCGCTACATGAGCCTTCTCACCAAATTTTCACTGCTATAGTAACTGTATTTTATCACAAACCCTAATAATATATTAATCTAAAGCACTACAATATCCATTTTGTTTAACTGTGCAAACAACCAGCTATGCAATAGTTGGGAAGCTGGTAATGATGGAAAAGTATGTGCAATTAAAAAAAATCAAGAAATTTGTATAGAACGAAAAGGGAGTTCAACAATCAAAATCAATAAAACTAAAATTCTTGGATCAAATTTTACGTTTATAAAAATTTAGATACTAGCCCTATGTGCTATGGCAAGCAATCTCCAAAGCTGAGGTTACAAACACTAGCCACAGCCTACACATTAAGGGAAAATTGGCTATGGGACACTTATTTTGTGTCAACTGCTCAGTACCATTGCAAATTCCGGGTTATTTACCAGAGCACACAGGAATCACTCAAACATTATTTCTTGAGCTAATAGGAGGGAACGCACGTGACAAGTCTATGTTGCCCTCTGGTTCAGGATATGGTCCAACTTATTTTCCTTTGCTCTGTACATGGTCTGATCGGGTCCTTCATTCTTTCATTCATTTTGCAATTGTGCACCAAGATTAGCCATTGTTTTAACCCATCTGGTTCATCATTATTTATTCAAATACTCCTCCATTATGTAAGGCTATCAGAGTTCAACCTTACAAATTCAAGGACGCCACAACCTAACAAGTTCAAACATCATATAATGTGGATTTATTCAACATGGCTAAAATTGGTGCACGGTGCAAAATATATATTAAAAAAAAACAGGTCTAGCAGCACCATGTATAGAGCAAAGGAGCAATACACTGGGGCATGTCTTTGAACCAAATGGCAAAAGAGACCTTTCACATGTGTTCTCTTAGAGCAGGTGGTCACAATGTAAACAAGCTATTTTGAACAATATAACTAGAAATGGATAAGGTAAGAACAAAATAGGTGACTATTAAGACGAACGTACTTTACTAGTCCATCCAAATCTTCCATAGTGAAAGCACATTCTCTGCATAGTCCATCGGTTATGAGATCCTCTGGTGTTTCTGTCCCACGCACCCCAATAAGAACAGTTTTTTTGTCATGGAGGACCACAACAAAGTAAGCGGCTTCACGCTTGCTCTGCATCGTTGAATAAAGGTGATCATCATCATCAACAACAACAACAAAGCCTTTAGTCCCAAACAAGTTGGGGTAGGCTAGAGGTGAAACCCGTAAGATCTCACGACCAACTCATGGTTCTGGCACATGGATAGTAAGCTTCCACGCACCCCTGTCCATAGCTAGTTCTTTGGTGATACTCCAACCCTAAAGGTGATCATCAGATACTCTTAAAAGATTTCGCGTTATTTTCTCTGCCACATTTTTAACTGTGTCATGACGCCTTGCTTGAAGTGAATCAGTCTTATGAAAAGTTCAGCACATAATGGCAAACACAATGGATCATTCACACCAATTTCAAGTTCTCAGCTACTCAGGGTAGTTAGATGATGCATATTAGACTATTAGTATGCTCTAAAAGGATGAATGGATGAATTAATCCCCGAAAATTCACAAAAAACAACCACCAAGTATAAGCAGAATACAGAAACTGGCCACCAAGGGTCAGCTAAATGTAAATGAGCGCAAAATGAGAAGAGGTGTCAGCAGAGAAACATAGATTATGTTATCAGTGCTATTTGTAAATGGTTAAAATAATTATGCAATCCCACTTTTATTCGACATCAATATGGCATTACCTGACGAACACGGCCTCGAACAAGTGCTGTAGGTGCTATATTAACAAATCTAAGGAAAGCTGCAGCATGCCCTCGCCACCAGTTATCACCATCAAGTGCAGGACGCCTGAACAGAGATTGGTATGTAGTAACTGTTATGTAAGTAAAGAACAGCATAAACTTTCTGCTTTTAGGGAAATACACAGATCAACAAATCATGAAGATGTGCATACAACATTGATTTAGATTGAGAACGCCAGTGTATAACAAGAAATTTCCTACTTCAGACCAATGAGGACAAAGAGAACAGTACAATTTAGCTTAATTCACTAACTATCTGTTTGGATGTCAGAACTGAACTGGGTTTGGAGAAATGGAGGTCCAATGCAATCTCATGAAGATATCAAATGGGTTGACAAATCAAATTTTCTGTTTAATCAGCTATGGAAACAAGAGTACAGAAATGGAGTACCGTCCAAATCCAAATCATGTTTGGCTGCCAAAGAAATGGAATGGAATCACACAGGCGGCTAAGTCTTGGATGCTAACTGGGTCACACACGTGCTGACGTCCTTGGCCTGCCAAACACGGACAACCACACTGCCTGCTCAACGAGATGTGGTGCACCAGGGATATCACGGCGTGGCCGCGCTGTCTAGCATGGAGCACATTCGCCAGAGATTAGGGGAGGCGACACCTAGTCACCGGCAGCGACGATGGGCAACGACCCCACAGTGGCAGCACAGTCAACAGCAGGGGTGGGCAAAAAAGGACAACGACGGTCACGTGCCAGCGGCAGCGGTGGACAAGGATGCCCAATCAGCAGGGAACCCATGGTGGTCGTGGCCTTCGAGGTTTGAGTGCCTCAAACCTGATTCTGCAAGATCCAGAGGGACCTCACCTCACCCAGTTATGTTGCAATTCCAAATTCCAACAGCATTCAAACATCTGATATTTGAAAGACACAATTCCAGTTCCCAATTTCATAGCTCAGTTCTATCATCCAATTGGGGTGTCATTTATTTTCCTCTTTCGGGCTTTTCCAGATGAAGTAATAACAGAAAACGAGGGAAGTTTGAGAATCAACAGACAACTGAGAAAAGGCATGGTAAATACCTTAGGCGCGCCCATGGAGTTAAAACGCCTTGTCGATAAACCCATGCGCATGGAAACAAAATGGGGTTTCTTCCGACATCAAGAAGTGGCCCCTGCAATTATACCTTTCCATGTCATACAAAGCAGGCATGCATAGGAAATATGTCCCAGTTAGATAGTGTCCAACCGTGTAACATGCTTCAGCAAAAGGATGGAGAACAGCAGCTTCTCGCATAAGCGTATGAGGTGCCTCCACAAGGTCAGTTTGCAAATCAGGCAAATTCCCATGCTTCTGCAATAGAGCAAGCCCTATAATACATACCATAGAAGAGATCTTTATTATGCTGTTAATACGAATGGAGCACATAATATAATACTAGGGGTAAATCCATGTCCTTTTGGACTTACCCATCTATGGATAATAGCAAGGGAGCTGCCTAGCCTAACCAGTGTAAGAAGGCAACTACTTGAATTAGTTGACAGGAGAAAAGGGTGACCATGGAGCTACAGTCTGAGCATCATTTTCTTCTGATATTCTTTCTGAAATGTTACGGGTTTTACATTTTCTATCAAGTAAATGGCACCAGGCCCACCTGTGCTCTGTGTAGAAAACAAATTGCAGCCAACTTCAAATATATGCAATTACAATATTATCGTTTGTGTATTCTAAATTTGTGCAACAAAGTCACCATCATCTGAAATACAAAGTTATAGTCCTATATATGCCAGAGCAAAGCTCGATTACTTATAAGAACATTTTCTCCTCCAGTTTTCTGGGACAAGGGATAGGAAATAAAAATATTCAAGTTATTGGTTTTATATAGAAGTCGTGTTTTTTAGGTGGAAGTGGACACTGGACAGATTGCACACACTTAAAGTGCATACTGCAAACAGGTGATTACTAAAATGTGGATTATATGTTGGATTATGGTAGTAGAACTTATATATTCTTTATTGGATGAAGTGCTGATATGGCTATGCACATCTTTGGGCAGGTAGATATCAAACTTTCAGTGTATTCATGCAGGTTAGGCGGAAGTGTAAATGATTAGAAAATCCTAATAGGCCACTGAACATATATTCGATATGAAATTACCGAGATGGAGAGCCAACCTGCTAACAGTTCCAAATGGCCAGTCCCAGAAGCACGATATGCAACCAATTCACCCAGAAGTCTTGCCACAGAATATACCTCATCTTCTTCCAATACGGCTCTAAATCAGCACATAAGAGGAACTAGAGTAAACAGATGTATTAATATTGAAACCTCACGGTGTAAAATGACTGGATATAGACTTACAGATACTTTGCACGTCCTAGGCAGCACAAAGCCTCACGAATTCCATGATCAAACACTTCCCTGTAATGAGCTTTCCATGCCATATCATGTGTCGCATAGAATGACCGCCATCTCAATACATCAGAACCCATGAAGCACTGAAGGACGACCACAACCCAGGAAAGGATAAGAAACAAAGCAATTAATGCTCGTCTGGAGACCCGCTCAGCTCCATCCTGTGCTAGATTACATGCAGGGCAAACTAATTATTGGAGCACAAGATAGACATATGGAAGCAAAGAAACATTAGGCAAGTGGACGCTGAATTAAATACAAGTCCTCCTCAAAATGCATAATTTACTAGTATTAATTCAGTATATTCACATTGACACCAAGTGCAACAAAATGTAAGTAGCATGCCCTTTGTACTGTTCAACTAAAAAAATCATCTAGAAAATCCAAACAAATATATAACAAATGTTTTATATGAACAAGGTTTTCTTGGTAGTGAGCTTACAGCAATTTAAGTCTTGAAAGGGCTAGATTCAAAGCTAGAATATACAACTGATAAGTGATATCAACCAACTCAAACATACCAAAGAAACAGGACGTGGGTCTTCTTTCGTTGGGAAGATCACTCACAATGACAAACATGAGATATATTGCCCCAACCAGCTGCAATGCACCAACAGCCATACCAAATCTAGTCCACCACAACCAGCGCTTATACCTCACCTGTTCAGCAAAATGGAAGTAGCAATGTGATAAATAGGTAGAAAATATACTCTTCTCGGATGTAATTCAAGTTAAACAACCACATTTTAATAAATGTTCATATCCCATCATTAACCTGTTTATTTATTTTCTTAATTCCTTTAGCCCTTCTTTTTTGTCCCTTCATATCCGCCCTATTATCCCCGACAGAGTGTAAACATGGAATGCTCGATCCCATTAGAGGGGCTTAGGGAAATCCCATTTGGCGATCAAATGTGGTGGCGTGCAGCAGCAATGAGCTTGAACTAAATTAGCACTAGAGCTGGACATGGATGAATTGAAAAAATAAGTTAGCTCGGATTGACAGGGCAAATGAATCTACACAATCTTGTGCACTTGTGTTCAACAACAAAGTTGGGTACCACAATCGTCAATGATATCTTATCATTCATCAAGGGCATTTCAAAATTACCTGTCCTATCAAACTTGTGCATCAAATCAAGTTTTTAACAGACTGTAAGCTCAACTAAAGCCACAAACTGCAACCTCATTATTGTCTAGTTTTTATCACTAGAGGAGTACCAGACTGTAAGCTCATTCAAAGCCACACCATCATAGCAGCATTGCCAGTTGATATCTTCCATCAATTACACCACAATTGCATCACACACGCCTTACAAATTACAACTAAGCTAGTAATTCATAACAATGACCGGAGCAACTCAACACTAGCTGAAACTATCCTGAATCTTAACAAACTCACAGATGCATAGAAACCCCAAGGGCCTGTGTTTTAAGCAATCGAAATCCAACCTGGAATGCACCTATCAGAAAGGATCCTACTTTTGCGGGGCCACCCACCAGAAAGGTCAAATCTACCAAACCAGCAACTGGAGCTTGATTGATTGAGCCTCACCCTGATCTCGTGGCGGGCCACGGCGTCCTCGGCAACGGAGGCGGCGGCCTCGTCGAGGTGGCGGCGAGCAATGGCGTCCGCAGTGGCGTGCTGGGCCCGCGCGGCGCCGAGCATGGCGAGCACCCGGACCGCGGCCATAGCGGGCATGGCGGCGAGCGCGAGGCCCCAGCCGCAGCCGGGCGGGAGCGCGGCGTCGATGAGGTAGAGGCCAAGCAGCAGCACCGCGCAGTTGAGGCCGCCGACGAGGAACGAGACGACCCGCACCATGCCGACATGGAAGGAGGTGGCCCCGGCGCCGGCCGCCGCCGCCGCCGCGGGGGCCGCGGACTGGCCAGCGCCGGCCATGGCGGGCCTCCGTCGGTCGAGCGGCGGCGGCGGCGGGGAGGAGCGGCGGCGGGGGAGGGGGAGGAGGAGGAGGCGGCGGATTGGGAGGAGGAGCTGGGCGGGAGGGGTGGCTGCGGGCCCGCGGCAGGGGAGGAGCGGCTTTCTAGACATCATCCGGCCGCGGCGGCCATGGAAAGCGGGGGTCGCGGGTGGTTGGGGACGGAAATAGAAACCGGGAGACGGGGGGAAAGAGTCGGCCTCCGCCTGCTGAATTGCTACTTCGTTCCGGGGACGTTTCCTCCGAGGTTGAGCTGAGCTGACGATGATTGCTGACTGGCAGTTGCTTCGGAATTTCTTTTTCTGCCGTTTTATAGCTGGACTTTTGGAGTTGGTGGAGATCACAAGCTTAGGGCATGGCCATCGCTCCACCATGGACAGATGCCCCGGCTCTCCACGTCGACCTGCTCTGTCCAGCTAAGCCAAACCTGCTGCTTGCAGGCCGGAACGGCCTCCTGCAGAAGAGGCAGCCTCTCGCCTGACAAAAGCATGAGAAAGTGGTAGAAAGGCAGGAATCCTGTGTAGGGACCGCTAGTCATCATGGTTTGTTTCTCACAAAGAAGAAGGAGAAAGTTTGAGAGGAAAAGTAGATGGTGGTCCAAATGTGTTGCCTGCGTTGGGCAAGAGCAACTGTGACAGTAGTCTCATCGTCTCTTTCCTTGCTGGAAGCACCGAGGCTACCGTATGGTGATGCTTCCACTGCTCATGCCCTTATGATCTGTGAGCAGGACCATCACCATGCGTGCAATTGAAGAAACGATTTCTGTTATCTTTTTCTCCAACACACACCCAAATACTAATTTTTGGGGGGTTAATTAGATAAATGTCACTTCAATTATGGCAATTCATAAAAATGCTACTGCAATTTTCAAACTTTGAAAAATGTCATTGTAATTTTTGCAAACTTTAAAAAATGCCACTCCAGACTTCAAAAAATGCCACTGAAAATGGTATGAAATGACGTTTTTCAAATTTTGGAAATTGCAGTGGCATTTCTCGGAATCGTCAGATTTGGAGTGGCATTTATCAAATTAACCCCTTTTTTTAGGCAAACACACACTCAAATACATGTCGTTGTGGATTAGGAAAAAGAATGTTACTTACGTGTTTGGTAGGATGCATGAGGCCCAACCAAGCTGCGTGAATCCGTCCGAAGAAGAGAACAACAATGATGTGGTCGACGGAAGAGAAATCGCCTTTCTAGGCGCCTCTCCTCTGTTGTAGCAGCAGGGGAGGGGGGTCTATGTTTCATGGCATGTGTGATGAACAATTGTGTTGAATTCGATGTTGTGGATTGATGAACCTGATGTTATGTTTGTACTATTTGTGTTTTTTTTTGTTTTGGGTTCATTTAAGATGAGTTTGATATTATTTGTTTCAGTATGCATCTAATTGTAATACCTAGTTTACATCATCTGTTGGAGCAGTGGTGCCCTATTTTACATCATTTGTTGGAAGAAACTAGAATTTAATATAGATTCATACAAAGGAAATGGTTATCTATTGATGCAAATGTTGTACCTAGAGGATAGTTATAGAGGAAGAGGGAAACATCGAAATGGAAAAATTAAATCGAAGATTGAAGATCCAAGTTTCCAAATGAAGAAATGGAAACTCAAAAAAGATCCTTCTGATTCTCCGAGAATAAGTGGCAAGAGGATTGATACCAAGAAAGATTTCTTCTTATTATAAGACATGATTTGATCTGCATATGTTTGGTAAAAGAACAATCTTCTCCTTCCATCATATCATAAATGAGAAGTGTTCAATCAGAACATGAAAACTATTTTTATTTTGAGATAGAGTTCGATCATCAACTATTTCTCGCGATATCTTCTTATGAAGTTTTGTTAGGGCATCTATAACTGCCTTCGGTTTAGGTGGGCAGCCCGACAGGTGACTTAATTTGTCTTAGTTAGTCTTCGGAGGGGAGTGGAAGAAGGGTGGAGACTCTCGAACAAGGAAAATGATCTCGTCAAAAGAATTGACGGAGGAATCGTATGAGATGAAAATCTCATATACGATTCTGTAAATGGACAACAATGGTGACTTATGTGTCGACTTTTCCTCTCTCACCCCCCAAATCCCCAACTCTGTCTTACATAAAGTTGCCAAAGAAGAAGTGAAATTCAGATGCCCTACAACTCACTGAACTCACTTTTGTTGCCCTATTTTAAGGCAGCTCTCGAAGATGTTCTAACTACCCTCCATGACATCCTACCGCCTGTCACGATCCCTTAGAGCATCTATAGTCGGACGCCTCAAACCCCCCTATACGCCCGGGCAGACGGCCCGGTCACAGACCAGTCAAAAGAACGACTCGGATGGGCTCCTCATACCCGCCCTACACGTCCAGGCTGATTGGCACCCCTCATATCCAACTCTTAGCCGGGGTTGTTGGTGGAATGACTTGCCCCTTGGGTTTTGGAGATTGTTGTCAGAAATAGTAAGGGGCTGAATTGTCAGTTTGCTAGTGCACACACAGAGAAATAGTCCCTGACGTATCGAGAAGAATGCTACATGCTAACGAGAAGTTTGGAGAACTTCACCAAGAAGTATCTGTGTTGCACAGAAGAGACAGGTATGTTTCGAGAACAAACTTGATACGTCTCCAATGTATCTATAATTTTTTATTGTTCCAAGTTATTATATTATCTGTTTTGGATGTTTTATATGCATTGATATGATATTTTATATTATTTTTGGGACTAACTTATTAACCTAGAGCCCAGTGCCAGTTTCTGTTTTGTTCCTTGTTTTTGACTTTTACAGAAAAGGAGTATCAAACGGAGTCCAAATGGAATAGAACTTTACGGTGATTTTCCTTGGACCAGAAGAAACCCATGAGACTTGGAGAAGAGGCCGGAAGACCCACGGGGAGGCCACAAGCCATAGGGGCGCGCCCACAGGGCTTGTGGGCCCCTCGGGGACCTCCTAACCCTAATCTTCGCACTATAAATTCTCAAATATTCCCCCTATACTAGAGGTGTAAGGGCATATTTATCCCTAAGGTGTTTTGGTGATTGATGACAATGCTTTTGCGGACTAATCGTGTGCCTTGAGTATTTCAGACGCTTCGTCACTAGGCACAAGACGGTTTGGTGCCCCTCGAAGACTATTGAAGACAACGTTTTTCTACGTTTCTTTTCGGTGGATTTGAGTCGTAGGAAAGCCGTACTATTAAGAGAGGGTCCGCGTTGGAAAGGTTCGGGTGCAATCATCACGTACACATTTACTCCCTTTGCACCGCCTTTCCCTTTGCGCTTTGGAGCATCCTCCGTTTTCTTCATATTTTGCAAAGAGAAGGATTCCAGGTGTTGCTGTTTTGAGGCATGCGGTAGTACTGCTCTTAGGAGCGGTAGTACCGCAGGCCCCCGCGATAGTACAGCGCGCCCTTGCGGTAGTACCGTAGGTGCACACGGTAGTACCGCTCCTAAGGAGTTGTAGTACCATGCCCTCGAACCAGACTCAGCCGCTCATGCGGCTGTAGGGGCGGATGTAATTTTTTACATCCGTGCCCTACGCGGTAGTACCGCCCCATGCACGCGGTAGTACCGTGAGTCCTGGTCTATCACAGCAACACGAGCGGAAGTAGGGGTGGATGTAATTTTTTACATCCGCTCCCTGCGCGGTAGTACCGCATGCCATGTGCGGTAGTGTCGTGTAAGATTTTTGCACTGTTTGATTTTCAGCGGAAGTAGGCACGGATGTATTTTTATTCATCTGCACCCTTCCCAGGCTTGTACAATCCGGCCTTGCGGTAGTACCGCGTCAGCGGCAGTACCGCCCTCAGCCTTTGCGGCTCAGGCCTGGACTAGCTCCTGCCGTAGCAGCGGTAGTACCGCGGTCTGCCGGGTAGTACCGTGAGCCCCTGCGGTAGTACCGCTTGTCTGGAGCGGTAGTACCGTAGGTTGCGGGCTGAGTAAGTGGATAACGGTTGGATTTGTCTCTCCACTATATAAGGGGTGTTTTCTTCCTCTAGTTGACTACCGCTTCCACCTTAAAGCTCCATTGTTGCTCCAAGCTCCATTTTCGCCCGATCTCTCTCCCTAGCCAATCAAACTTGTTGATTTACTCGGGATTGGTTGAGAAGGCCCCGATCTACACTTCCACCAAGAGAAATTTGATCCCCCCACTAATCCCTAGCGGATCTTGTTACTCTTGGGTGTTTGAGCACCCAAGACGGTTGAGGTCACCTCGGAGCCATATTCCATTGTGGTGAAGTTTCGTGGTGTCATTGGGAGCCTCCAATTAAGTTGTGGAGATTGCCCCAACCTTGTTTGTAAAGGTTCGGTCGCCGCCTTCAAGGGCACCAATAGTGGAATCACGGCATCTCGCATTGTGTGAGGGCGTGAGGAGAATACGGTGGCCCTAGTGGCTTCTTGGGGAGCATTGTGCCTCCACATCGCTCCAAATGAGACGTACTTCCCCTCAAAAGGAAGGAACTTCAGTAACACATCCTCGTCTTCACCGGCTCCACTCTTGGTTATCTCGTGCCTTTACTTTTGCAAGCTTATTTGTGTTGTATCCCTTGCTTGCTTGTGTGCTTGTTGTTGTTGCATCATATAGGTTGCTCACCTAGTTGCATATCTAGACAACCTACTTTGATGCAAAGTTTAATTTGGTAAAGAAAAGCTAAAAATTGTTAGTTGCCTATTCACCCCCCCCCCTCTAGTCAACTATATCGATCCTTTCAATTGGTATCAGATCCTCGTCTCTTTATTAAGGACTTTGTCGTCCGAAGAGTATGGTTGACACCATAGACAGTGTGGAGGAGCACTCCGGTGTGAATCCGAGCTCGTCTACGGCCGATGGGGGAACCACGGTTTCCCGTGAGGAATTCAATGTGGCTTTGGACACATTGAAAACCTCCATGACAGCCGAGGTTGAAAGCATGTTTAATAAATTCTTAGAAGGACTTAAACTATCTACCTCGCCGTTGAAAGTGGGTGATCCCACTAACAAGGTGACGGATGCTAACTCCGACAAGGGGGAAGCTACTAGTGAAAAGGGTCCTTCTACTAGTGGTAGAAATGGCACCGGCATCTTTGCCAATGTGGAACCTCCAATTTATGGAGGACTGATTCCCTCTACTCATTTAAATCATGCCGGCCCTCCTCCTAAGATTGTGAAAAATGAGGACTTTGATTCTTGGGTTTATCGCTTCAAGCGTCATTTAAATCATGTGAATACTAACCTCTGGAGAATCACTGAAGAAGGTTTCCATCCACATGACCGAAGCAACTTCACCCCGAGAGAAGCCGTGGATAATCAATTCAATGAGAATGCTCTCTTCATCATTCAAGATGCGGTTCCACCCGAAGATCTCCCTCATCTTCGACCCTTTGCCATGGCCAAAGATGCATGGCATTGTG